GCGGCCCGGTGCCAGGTACTCCACGGCCCGGCACCGGTCCACGGACCGGGGGTTGGGGACCACTGATTTAAAGGATCAAGAATGCAGCTAATTTCAGTGGATTTAATATGAATCACAACTAGCAATTCATTCAGTTAGACATCTTTCTAAAAATCATAGCCAGCATGTGATATAAGTTAGTTTTCCTGAAATTCTTAACCACAAGTGGTGTTAATGAAATCTATGAAAAGATCTAGAAATGATTACTGCCCTCTCTAATTTTGGTCTGTGTCAATGAAGAATAAAGAATTAAGGCCGTCTATTTACATAAATCAAGTTTATAAACATAATTCAAAAGGTGTTCAAGTCTTGGATTAAAAAGCCCCAACAGTGAGGAAATGACAATCATTTTCTATCTTTAATAAAAAGTGTTTTGCCTTTGAAATATAGGTTTTCATAAAGCATTGCAAAATATTCACTCCCTTAGTGTATCTGCCATTTCTGCCTGAGGAAAACATTTGGGATACCATCTGCTAAACAAACACACATGTAGTTCTCGGCTAATAGCATGAAATATGATTTTGCATTCATTTGTCATTTTACTTAAAAATACAACTTGAGTTGCAACTTTAAGTATATAGGCAACATTTCTTTTTAACTCTATGCAAAAAGAATCTAGTTTCTTCTTCTAGTTCACTTGTTGAGTTGCTAAGCTGCTCAGCTGGAAAGCACTCTTCGCTTATCTTAGAAAGTATTTTAAACTATTCAAAGGTAAGAATGTTTAGCTCAAAGTCATTCAAACTATATTTGTTAGCCCTGAGCAGCATTAAAATTGACCCCTGCAATGTTCAAAAGTTGTAATATTTCTACTTCTCTTTGGTTTTTGAAATTTATGAATATAGCCTTTAAGAATATGATAATGCATGCTCTTTGGGTGTTAAGAAAAAGACACTTAAGATCTATCTGTGTTTTACAAATTTTTAAAAAGTTAGATGTTTTCTTAGAGAAATTTGACACTTTCCAATTTTAATCCAACACAAATTGCTACCAACTATTTACATTACTAAATTATGTAAATATACATAAAAATTGATGGATATATCAAGGTTGACTAAATAAATGGCAGCAAACACATCTCTATTAAGCATTAAACCCAAGCCAAATAAATTATATAATGGAACACTACATTGTGCTAATATACAAACCAAGTCATAAACTTTTAATGCTGCACAGATCTTTCCTAAAGTTGTTTGAACGTTAAATATACTTAAATGTTTTTTTAAATTGAAATCATATGAGTATGCATATCAAATCTAGACTATTATAGTATCAAAGTATTCTTTTTAATAATTTGGATCTTCAAGGTACAACTATAGATTTCTAAAACAGACAATCTGCAGATATAAAATAATTATTTTAAATATGACACACGAAATTGCAGATCTACCATCAATTAACTAAAGATAAGGCAATTTAGGCTGGTAGCATATGTTTCTTCTATATGTGGATCACTTTAACTTATAGTTAAACATAACTATTGCCTATTTAATGAGAAATAGACAATGTATATTAGCGTTCCATGCACCTTCGGTATTTAGTCATGCTGGCCACATGACAACGTCTTTGGACAGCACTGGCTCTTCGGCTTTGTATTGGAAATGAGCACTGCCCCTTAGAGTCGGGAACCACTAGGACATATGTAGGACAAGGGGAACCTTTACCTTTAATATCTTAAGTTATGACAAAACAATATAACACTTCAAAATATTTAGCACTAACAATTTCAATCAATCTCATGTTTTCCCACTTTCATTTATTAAGAGGAAACAGACCTAGAAATCAAGTCAAATGCTGTATGCCTTTCAGTGAAGAGAAATTCAAAAATGCTTGCCCAAGTGGTAATCTCCCAAGAAATTCTTATTAAGAAAGAAAAAAAATGTATGGCTTTGATTTATTAATATTGTTCCAATCACACAAAATGTTTGTCATTCAAACCTCTAAATTATTGATCCAAACAAACAATTGGGTTATACCTGGCTGATAACATTTGGTTCTACCTGAAAGATGAGGAGAAAGCTACAGAATTATCAGGGATGGAAAGCTTATAATACCATTTTCCCCAAAATAAGGCCTCCCTGGATAATAAGCCCAATTAGGCTTTTGAGCGCATGCGCTAAAATAAGCCCTCCCCTGAAAATACGCCCTCCCCCAAAATATTGTTAACGCAGCAGCAGCCATGAGGTGACCACGCTTGCCATCTCCTGCCCCTCAAAAATAATACCTCCCCCAAAATAAGGCCAAGTGCTTATTTCGGGGTTCAAAAGAAAATAAGACCTTGCCTTATTTTCGGGAAAACATGGTATGACCCAGGGATATCTATGGGGGCAGGGCAGGACAGAATTAAACAGACATTGCCCTACGAGGTCTACCTGTTTTAGAGCTTTAGTTGCTTCGACAGAAGCCTGTGAATACCCCTACTCAAAGCTGGATCAGAGTCCTGGCCTGCTTTGACCAACCGAAGGTTTGGAGACTAATAACAACAGTTTTTTGGAAAAGAAATGTTAAGAGCTGCATTTGTACATAATGTTGAGCTTTTCATTTCTGATCATTTAATGGTCACTGTAGTCTTTACTGCTTGCAGAAGTCAAGCCAAAGCGACCAGACTATAAAAATTAGTATGCATCCTCCCAGTAAGGCTGATTATTTAGTAATTTTGGTTTCCATTTTTTAATTAATTTTCAAAAGTTATTAATATTAAGCACCCAGATTTCATTTTGGTGTTCAAGGTCAGTGTAAATTCACAGCAATAATTTATCAGATATTAGGAGTTCATAGACTGGGTTCATACAGAAACAAAGTGATGCTTTTATTAAAAGCAGCTCATTAAACAAATCACAATTGGCTGGGGTTGTACGCCATTCTAAAACCAAGCCAAATTGTAGTTTCTCTGACCAGCTGAAAAATCAAAATATAATGAAAACAATGTCTAAAGAATGATAAATGAAAAATTTCACAAATAGAATATGTATCTATAAAAACTACGAGTCAACTGAATGAAGTCAAACCCTCAGTGCTTAACATACATATAATTACACATATAATTATAATACTGCTTTCTCTGGGGTAAGAAATAAGAGGCAGAGAAGAGAAGAGAAATAAATCCAAGAAAATAAAGGCTTGGTTTTTCTTTTCTTTTTTAAATGTTTACATAGCTAAAATTACTTTACGCCCAGTTAGTTCACTAGATACCTTCAAAAATTTCTACCATTCAAACCATCCCTGTTTCCACCCCATTCATATTTTGCTTCATACATTGGTACTTGGTGTCTTTTTCAAGACGTCATCAGCTCTATTGATGTCTCAGTTTTACATTCAAATCATATTTACTATATTCAGAATTAATACACTCTTGACCTTATCTCTTCTTATTTTACCACTTAAATCCTTCTGCATTCAGCTACTTTTATATTTCCCCTGTCAGGCCTCTCACTTCGAGATAACAGAAAGGGCAGCAGCATGCTGTTAAACCAGAACCATTTCTGTTTTGTTTTTTTTGGTAAACATTTCTTGTTTCAGACCTTGTACCATTAACATTGGTCCATCTTAAAAAGTTCTCACTTTCAAATACGTGAATTTATCAACTTGCTCTAGTTTTTCACTACTTCTACGTGACTTGTAAATATTCGCTCTCCTCTCTGTCAAGCACCACTACCTTGGTCTTTGATACATTAATTTTCAAATCCATCCTCCTCGATGTATCATATGGTCCCGTGATGGCGAACCTATGGCACAGGTGGCATGCAGAGCCCTCTTTGCGGGCACGTGAGCTCAGCTCCACTGCTCATGTGCCTGCGCCTCCTGCCAGCCAGCTGATTTTCAGGTCTCTGCCATGCATGCGGGAAACACATGTGCATGTGGGGGGGGGCATGGGGGAAGGTGCATCCCCGTGGCCCATTTGTGCTCCCAGGAGGCTGTAGGGAGGCCTACTAAGCCCAAAATACATGCACGGGGGGAGTGCAGGGGGTGAGCGTGCATTGCATTATGGGTGTGGGCACATGTGCTGTCATGTGCGGGGGTGCACGCTTTCAGCACGCGATGACAAAAAGATTAGCCATCACTGGTATTCACAACAAACCATTCAACTTCTCTACTAACAATATGGCTTTATTTATATACAAAGGCAAAAATATATTCACCTAGTTGTCATGCATTCCATCATCACAAGCATTCTCTGTACATTTCTCCACAAATACACTGAAGGGGGACATGGGACAGCCCTCCATTTGTTCTGAAACATCCTTTATCTACCACTCTTATTGCATTCAGCCACCCACCTTCAACAACATAGTCGTGTAAAACATTCCATAATTCAAGACTACTCTCTTTATAATAAATTCCTTCTAAATCAATGATAATAAAATTTCTTCGTCATTTCGATATACTCTTAGTAAGCTTAAAGAATAAATATTTGTACAACAGGAATGTAACAATTAAAAGCACACTGTAACCTTTAATGGTTAATGTTGTCTAATGTTACTAAATTGGCACCTGTCATTTCACTTTTTAAAGAATATAGAAAATAGAAAACATTTTTTTAAACTCAAAGATAGGGTAAGATTAAGATTCCTGAAGCTCACATTTAAGAAATCCATATGCCATTTTGTTCATAAGTATGAAAACTTTTGTGGAAATTAAGGAACTATTAGAAACGCCTTACAAATATTCCTCATGGAAAAAGAACAAATTTACCTTTTCATCTGTATATCCATTCCGGTCAATATGATAAAGTGATGCCAAGTGGGTTATAATCCACCAACTGAAGCTCAGTGGATCCTTGCATGGAATTGATTCAAAGCCAGATACTTCATCAGTACCATTGCTTTTTTCGAATACTTTTTTCAGAATTTTATTTAGCCAGTTCCAAAAAGACTGTAAAGAAAACCAACAGTTTTAAAAGGAAAGCTGCACACTTCAGCCATCTGCTTAGCTCTTGAGAATTTTTCCTATTGCTTTTATGCTTCACCATGTAGCAGTTTATACAGGACAAATTCTGAGGCCGAAACAGAAAACAATCTGATCTTTTTCTATACCCTTGGATATACTTTAATTTATATATAGTTACATTTCTGAGTGAATATGTACAAAAATGCACATTCACATTCTGGTTAAATATTTCCAGAACAGGTAAAAATCCATGGAAAGCCAAATATTCGTTCTTCTATGTCAGGGGTGTCACACTTAAGGCCTGCAGGCCGCATCCTGCCCATGGGGTGCTTAGATCCAGCCCATAGGGCTGCCCTGGAAACACCGAAGGACCAGCCCACAGTGCCTCTGCCAGCAAAAACAGAGGCCAGGAGGGCCCTGTGTGGCCCTACTGGGCTCTGTTTTTGGCTGAGACTGCGTCCTGCAGCCCTCCTGGATTCTGTTTTCACTGGCAGAGGACTGCAGGAGCCCATCACAGCTGAAAATGGAGCCTAGGATGGCCACGCATGGTCCTCACAGGCTCCGTTTTCACTGGCAGAGTGCTAGTGAAAACTACTAGCAAAAGTGGCATTTGATCACACGAGTGACAAGCTGGCCACACCCATCCCACCCACGGCCCCCTGAGGTCAGACGCAATTCTGATGTGGCCCTCAATGAAATCAAGTTTGACACCCCTGTTCTATGCAATTCTACTTTTGATAATATATTTTTCTTAATAAACTCAGGTTCTGAATTGGACATGGGTATATTAATTCATTGACCTTCACTTTAGACTTAGTATGATTTAGAGTTTCCATGAATGTAATCAAAATATACCATTAATATAAATGTATACCATTTTGGGGACAATCTATGGAGAAAGGGACATTTGACATAGCACTGTAACAAAGTAAAAGACAAAAAAACAAAGTAAAGTCTCTTGATTGTAAGAGGCAAAAAACCTGAATAAATAAAAGAATCAAATCAAGTTCAGCCACATCTCAATCAACAATTTCTGAATTTGGAATCCAAATTATGCAACTAAGGTAGAGATAGGCAACCTGGTGCTTTCCAGCTATTTTAGATATAAACTTCAGATTGTAACTATATAGTTTAAGAGGCCATCTTTAGATTATATAAAGGACAGGGCCTATTTTCAGTATAATCAAGAGAAGGACAAACTAGATGAGGGCAGTGATTTACTATTATTTGGTGGAAATAAAGACAGGTTTCAGGATTCTCCAAGTTTGTGTTTTGTGATTACTTACACTCAGGCAAATTGTTCAATTAAAAAAAAAATCAATTCTAGCAGGATTCTAGATTATTACAGCCAACATTTGCTTTTGTTCTTTATAGTAATAAGATCATGGACACACCAAAAGTAAGTAAAAACAATAAATAAAAGTAAAATAATGTAACAATACAATACCTTGCCACTCCTTTTAATGTAATCAATAACCATTTCCAAATGTATGTAGGATCCAATTTGGGTCGGTCACACTCTGCTAGAGAGACATTCCCTAAGGATGGGCTCCAGCACGAATCTGAAAGCTTGGAAGACTATTCAATCTTTTGTTGCTTGTATCTTATGATTTATATTGTTTATTTAGTATCCTGGTATGATTTATGTTGATTGTTTATGACTATCACTAAGTATTGTACCTTATGATTTATGATGAATGTATTTTTATGACGACTATGATAATGGTTTATCACTTATTGCTTGTATGTACACTGAGATTCAATTCAATTCAATTCAATTCAATTCAATTCTTCTGGTCCTGGTGACCGACCCAGATTGGATCCTACAACATTATCCTGGGACACATATATTCGCCTTCATTCCAAATATATGTACTGTTAGTAAAGCAGAAGTTCTATGAGCTACAATGTAAATCAGTTTAGAATAGTGAAGTTCTCAACACACATCAAGAGAAGATAGAGCCTATGAAGAACCTTTGACTATTATCTGGACATGCAGTATTAATTTAAGACTAACCTCCCCAGGGCCAAATACCAGAAATTTTAACTATAAATTCTTAGTGGTGGAAAGAATCACTTATTGTGCTATTGATTCTTTAAGCTACTACAGTGCTAATGATTCCCCAACTAAGTCTGAATGGATGGTTACCTTATTCCTGGTCTGATAATATCCAGCAATACCATGCTGAAAATTATTTGACTGTGCTGGTCAACTAACATAAATTTCTTTAAGGTTTATAGGGCGGGGGGGGGGGGAACAACACCTTTGATATAAGTTTGCCTATGGAGTAGATAAAACCGTTTGATATATTTGTCAAACAATGAATTTCTGCAGGTTTCCAATGCAATGTTTCATGAAATGTATTCATGCTGGGAATGTAACAATTCCTACCTCTGTAAGAGATGCTTTATTTCTGTGGTTGAGCAGATGAATAAGCAGAACCCACAGCTCTTTTATACAGGTACACGTATAGTGGTGAGTAATAAGAGCTTCGGAGAGCCTAACCTGCAACAAATAACATTTTAACTCAGAGAAGGCAAAAAACATTTATACCTGAACAAACTTCAGAGCTGGAGGAAGCAGTTGAAAAATATCACTGAAATAAAGTGTAAATATAAAAATATTAAGCCATCCAGCAAGTAATATAAAATTTGTCTTCCTTTTTGAAAAAAAAGCTGCCAGATCTTTGTATGCATGTGTTTGAAATCCAAATTTAAAGACTGTGCATTATCTTTGTGGTGTTATAATTTCTTCGCTTATTGCAATTTTTTCAGAAGTGACTCCTTTTAAGGAAGAAAATGGATAATGTGTATGTTAGAGAAAAAGAGAGAGAGAGAGAGAGAGAGACTTATCTAGATTTGTCAAAACCACAAGGAATTATTTATGTGCCTAATACTAAGAAAATGTTTAAGGAGTGTTCAACTCAATACAATTCATACACATTGATCACTTCCTTATTGGTGAAAAATTATTGAGACTGTCCTACTGTTAAGACTTAGAAAAGGTAATCTTGATGACTTCCTTCTTCCTATTCCATTCTAGAAACCCTCATGACTCTCGAAAGCAATTTTTGGAAGAATGGCCTACTTTAAAAATCACATTTAAATAATCTGGTTATGTTTGAAATTTCAAGTGCCACATTGACCATTATTAAATAATGCATAAGCAAATTTGTTTAACATTCATATACATTCTGGAGAAATGCTTTTAAAACTAGTTCACTAAATCTATGCCTTATCCTCTTTATATTTTCTTAGTATCCACTTTGCTGAATTCAACAGAGCTTGTTCTTAAGTACTGTGGTTATTTAAAATTACCTATCAGATATTAAAAGCTACAATTCAGGATGTTTGACATTATAGTTAAAACCTTAGTAATAGTCACACATCTACTTATTATACTCTATACCATGCAGAAAACCAACATGGATTTTAGAATAATTCAAATAAAAGGGGCACACAAGAAACAACTTCATTTTCTATTCCCCACCATATTAGCATGAAAAGGAAAAAAAAATAAAGCCATAGACTGCATAAATAGTTCTTAAGAAATTTCTGCAGCATTAACTTTGTGAACTCTCGATTCCTGAAAATATGATAAAACTATGTTATTGCTAAATAAACCAATATTTTCAAATTATTCAACACTAATTTTTATGATAGAATCTACAAATGCATATGTTTACTGCCATACATGATGGAATAAAAACACTACATTGTTCGGAAGCAATGCAATATTTCCTGAATTGTTAGTCTGCCATCTTTAATCAAATGAGTTATACCTTGATGTACCAGCAGGTGGTATTGTAGTCACATATAGCGACAGAATACCACTCCCCTTTTAAGATTTAAAAAGTTTCACTCCATTTTGCATTACATTTGGAAAATAAATACTTACTTTTTACATGTCACGTAGATTTGCCCTTTATCCAATTTAAGACTAACCTATTTGATAGTTTAGAATTAATTAGCTGAATAATTTATTTTGCACTTGGGAACTTTGGAAGGGGAAACAAGAATGATTTATCAAACAAACCGTTTCTTTTTTTTTCTTCAAAGTAGACTACTAAAAATTGTGTGTGTGTGTGTGTGTGTGTGTTTGTATGTGCGTGTGGGGGGGCATGCCCCCCCATTTTCTAACAAATGTACAACTAAATTTAGGAGATAAATGGATATAACAACCAGCTATAACCAGCTCTTTCGTTTCCTGTCACAGTTTAAACACTGTTGATCTCTCTAGAGCATTAGGGCCATAGAAAAACAGGAATATCTGCAGTTTTCCACTTGCCAAAGACATCACTCACTTTTAGAGTTCACAGACTTCATTTCTGGACAAAGGCATTTTTCAAGCTGCATTTTCATTTAACCACCTCACACAGGTGAATTAACCAAAAGCACTGATGAATTTATCTTGGAAATACTATTTTAATATATATTAATAGACACATTTCTTCTGTCTCAGAAATTTAGGCAATATTACCATCATATTGAATAAAATTGCAATACCTTTGAATACCTCTTAACTGACAAACTTATCAGATCATATAAGAGATTGCCACAGTGATCTTCAAACAAACTGATATTGGTAAGATTTTCTCCAGTTAAATTTGTAAATCTGTGAGCATATATGGTTTGCCCTAGAAAATACAAATGAAATTAGAAAATCAAAATTAATGAATGTAGAAACAGAAATATGTTTTCAGTGCAAAAACAAACAACTACAAACACCTCAAGTTAATTAAAAAATAATAAAATAAAAATAAAAACAAACAAATAAATGAAATAAAAAGTTGAAATCACTATCTTTGCAGCAGGATGAAAATGACCAGTGCTGGTTCAGTAACAGGGTTTTATATCCTGTTTTAGATATAGATTCTTGTAGAGCCATTCAAAATATTTAATTGCAAGCCATTTCATCCCTGCTTCCAAAGAAAAAGTAAAAAAAAATATTACATATCATACTTATCTATACAGGAAGCTTTATAGGTTAAATTGGTCATGATGAAATTAATGCTGATTCTATTACCGTAGCTTCGTTAGTTTCTTCTAAGCATAATTAACTTTGATCCAAAATTACTATCGCAACACATAGGAATTCCTTTACTCTACTTTCTCTTCCATCAGTGCATGCTTCAAATGGCCTCTGTGAGAATGCTGTTTACATTTGGAGATTGTTCAGGAATAGGGAAAGGAACAGGAATGCCATTGGCTATTAATGTTCAATTAGGACTGAAGAGAAGGAAAGCATTATTGAGAAAGCACCACTGTATGCATGCGTAAGGGAAGGGAGCTTGGGAGATAGGCGAATGACGTCTGAAGATGGTTTGAAATCATCAAAGAAGAATAAACCATCAAAGAAATCATCAAAGACATTAAAAAGTGAAAGCTAGAATATTTTGGACATGTGATGCGAACACCCAGAAAAATACGGCATCCTTGACTTAATCCTCCAGGGAAAATTTGAAGGCAAACGAGGTCCAGGCAGAAGAAGAACACCATGGCTTCAAAACCTAAGGGACTGGTTTGGACAAAACTCAACAGCACTTTTTCATGCAGCTGTTGACAAAAATAGGATCACCAACATGATCACCAACGTTCGATCAACGGATATGGCACAACAACAACAAGAATTTCCCCAACATTGCTGTTTCTAAGGCTGCTCTTTGTTCCCTTTTCTCCCTGTCTGCTGAAAGGACACTCTAAAATTTAGAAGGGGGAATGAAAGCAATATATGGAAGGAAGGCATGGCCACGTAAACAGCTCCTCAGACCAAAAGGACCCCACACTAGCTTTAATTGCAAACTCTAAATTCTTATTGTTAAATTATGTACAAGGTACACAATCTACACAGGGTAGAAAATAAGACCTCAAGGCATAATAAGCCCAATCAGGCTTTTGAGCGCATGCGCTAAAATAAGCCCTCCCCCAAAATATTGCAGAAATAGTAGCAGTCATGAGGTGACCATGCTTGCTGCCTCCTGCGCATCAAAAATAATAAGACCTCCCTAAAAAGGCCAAATGCTTATTTTGGGAGTCAAAAGAAAATAAGACCCTGTCTTATTTTGGGGGGGAACACGGTAGGATTAACCATTGTAAAACATAATACAGATGGATATAATGTTGAAAGTACCCACATTTTCTCCTTCAGCCATGTGTTAAATTAGCTCTCACAGTGAATCTGAACAAACATTTCCTAGTATGGTGTGTGATCTTCAGTGTCTGCAATTCAAAATATCAGCCTCTCCCTATATTGTGCAACTCCAAGAATAAATATTATGGGGAAATTAGTCTGAGTACACAGAACATATATTGAGTAAATGTGAATAGGGTGCCTTGTTGTCACTTAATTCATACCTTTTTATCAATTATTAAATAAACTTGTGGAAGTAGAGGGAGGTATAGAGAAGTTAGAAATAAGTGGCATTCATCTATCATTCAGCAGCTAAGATTGACAGTACTCTACATCAGTGCTGAATGATGTCTGGTTACCACTGATCCTTTTAAAATGAAGTTGTCAATCAAGAAATTGTTTTTTTAAAAAAAATCTGAGTATATCTTTACGCTTCATTGGCTAGAGTAACCAAGATCTCTCGGAATAGCCATTTTTGACACTACAATGTATTTAGAATATGCGTAATTCTAAACATTTTATTTTTCTGAATATTCTAAGAGAACTTGCATGAATAATTTTAAAAATACTGCAGCATAATCACATTTGAGAACACATTACACCATGTGCCTTCAAAATATTTTTATAACTTCATTAATAAAGATAAAGATAACTGTTAAATTTAGAATTGTGCTGTAACATTCACAGACTGTTGAGTGTGCAATCTGTGTAAGGACCTTTTCACCCTCTCAAAATACAATCAAAACAGAATTTATTTGTAAAGAATTAAGTTAAAAATGCCATTAAAATCAAAAGGACAGTGTTTACTGATTTTAAATCAATAGGACAAATAATAAATGGATAGATGCATTGATCTTTTAATTGATTTATAATTGAAGTTTTGCTGTGAAATTATATAAATCAGTTGAGTTATTCATTGATTTAAAAAAAATGGTGCTGCACAGATGAATCCGTCTCATTAAGGGTGTTTATAATTTATAATTTGAGGACTAAAAGATTATAGTTAAAAGAAATGAAGTAGAAATAACCTATTTTAGGAATCCCTAACTGGTTCCTACAGAATATTGTCTGGATTTCAACATAATATCAGACTTCAGTCTCCATAATTCATTGCCATTTACCTAATTTAGAATACCAGGAAATCAAGTTTATCATATACTGACAGGTCCCAGGATGACGAAGACTGATCTTCCCAATTACCAGATAACCACATAAAACGGTAATCTGATCTTTTCTGTTTTATTTAGCTTCCATAGTTTAAAAACATGTTTGGACTCTCCCCATAAATAGCAAAAAGTAACAAGAAGCACAATCTCTCCATATTTCAGTTTCTCTTTTATTTCTTGGTGAATTACTTGGAAATATTTTTACTGCACCTCCATGAATCTTAAATTCATTTGTTACTAAATAGTCTTAACAACCATTGGGTAAGCTTAGGTCTTAATAGAGCTGTGGGCAAATGAACAGCTGCAAAAATTGAAACTGTACATGAATAAATGCAAGTATTTAAAATCCCCATTTTTGCAAGCAAAAGTAAACGAACTGATCAAATTGTTGTAATCCTAGTATACTTAAATGAGTGTTTCCCATTATATGTAAAAAATTGAATTTTTAATTTTAATGTCAACTTGTTAAAACCTGGACCATGAAGTCTTGGTTTAAGAATCTTAATAGATCCACCTGCTACCAACCAAAATCCCAGAGGTAATGGAAGTACCACATTTAAAATATGAAAATTGACGTATGAAAAGGGACACTGAATGATTGGTGGTTATACACAGTCCCTAAATGTACAGCCCAGGAGTGGGTTTTCTGCCGGTGTTACTGCCGGTTCAGTGCATGAGCGATTTGCGCGCATGCCGTCACTTCACTCACATGTGCAGTTGCCTGTAAATAGATCTGCGCATGCGCAGAACATTGAAAATGACAAAAAAGCCATGCCGCGGTAACTGGGGAACCAGTTCAGGGGCGTGGCAAGCCTGCCTTCCCTACCGGTTCGACGACTTAGTCACAATTTCCACTACCGGTTCGCTCGAACTGGTGCAAACTGGGAGCAACCCACCTCTGGTACAACCGTTGCAGCATCTCCAAAATCAAAATTTGGGCACCTTCAGCATTTGTGACCACAGGAACTTCCATCCACCTATCCCCCGCCCTTCTGCTGGCCCTGTCAATCTTACACCCCAAGATAACCTTTACTGTCTTTTTCCTGCCACCGTTGAGATAACAACTAACCCCTTTCTTAGGCAGCTGCTGACTGTGCCAGGCTTCTTTCCAAGGCCATGTTGACCTCTTGTCCAAATTGTGCATAGCCTATTGGAGAGGTTTTGGAAAGCAGATTGTGTTGGACCAGGTCAGTGCTGGCAGAGGCAGTGGGGTGTAAGGTGGCTAGAAAGGAAGCAATGGGAAGATATAGGCAGATGGGTGAGTTGAAAAGAAGGCAACACAGCTTGGGGCTGGGAGGGACCAAAGAAGGAATAGTTTGGATCATGTAGGATCCTTGGTTAACGACTGCTGGGATCTTCACATTTCATAATATTAAATACACTTGTTTATGAAGACTACAGAATATGAGCTCTCCTTGAGACTATTGTTTTAGCAACTATTTGCTTGTATTTTATTTATCCTTCCAAATCCCAAAATACAAATAACACAAAAGATAGAAACAAAGTGACTCACTTCGCATTTTTTCACCAAGAAGATGGAGGATTTCCAACACTGACCAGTGAATGTCTATGTACAGATGCAGCAAGTGCCATGATGGAGGAAATAACTACGTTAAAAATATCCAAGAAAAATACTGTATGTTATATTTTAATTTATATATACAGAATACACTGTGACTTATAAGGATTTGAAAATGAACTGGCTTTCCATGGGCTGGAACCAGACTGATAATTAATGTAGGAGGGTACCTGTAATATTATTAAAATGATGCTAAATATTGTCACTTTTAACAGAACTCAACAGAGAAAAGACAATTAATAACAAAAACTATAAGGCCCTGTTATTACTAGTGTAAATAGGTATCCAGTCATTTAAAAATTATAGGACCACTAGAAGTAGTCCTCATTTAGTAACAACTGGGACTGGCAACATGGTAGCAAAGAGATCCCTAAGCGAAACTGCAACTATGCTTACAATCTTACTTCTGTTTCATTTGCTTTACAGACCTGTGAAGCTCAAGTTACATTTTCAACACCATTGAAATAGCAGTCACTAAACAAGGCAGTTGCTAAATGAGAACTTCCTGTATGTAGGTTATTTTTATCTCCTTTTTACCCTCAGGAATGTTTTTCATTTTTATCTCAGCATACATATAAACTATAATATTCTGAATTTCCTACCCTGTTTTCCCAAAAATAAGACCTCCCTGGATAATAAACTCAATTGGGCTTTTGAGCGCATGCGCTAAACTAAGCCCTCCCCCGAAAATAAGCCCTCCACAAAAATATTGCAATACAGCAGCGCTCTTGCACATCAAAAATAAAAAGACCTTCCCGAAAATAAGGCCAAGCGCTTATTTCGGGGGTCAAAAGAAAATAAGACACTATCATATTTTCGGGGAAACATGGTATTTATCCGATAGCAATGATTTAATATACTAAAAGAACATCTTGTTTTGGGAAATAATGATGGGCAATTAAACTCTTCTGAGTTCAGGGAAAGTGTGGGGATACAAAGTACTTTTGGTACTTTTATACAGATCGAGTACACTGTTCTATGGAAGTAGGAATCTCCATCTTACTAGCCACAGAGAAACTTGTGAAAAATTGCCTAAAATAGTGGAGGGGAAGAAACAAAGGGCAAACTGAATTTGGATTGGATCTTTGGTAACTGAATGAAAATAATGAGCAGAGACATTAACCCCTCCCTCCCCCCATCCACCCATTCCTAAAGACACATGTATTCTAGAAGGCAGACGTCGTAATGTACAGTATCTCACACACGTGCATACTGGAGACAAAATCTTCCCCAAATTCAGAATTAATGGGGAAGAAAGACACAACCTGAAGAAAGTTCAAGAGGCTAGATGAGAAACCTCCTAGGGGCTGGCCTACAAGTTAGAGATCTTCTATATCTATGCCAAGAGATGAGCCCTAGTAATATCACCTCTTAGTTCATCACTTGATAATGGTAGCGACTTTGTGCCATGTCTTATAGCATTCCCCTGTGGCTTCTCATCAATGTCCCCACATATATAAACAATATGTTCTGTATTTCTGCATAATCCTCATGTTTGATAATATTACTTATAAAGGGGAAAAAACCCAGATAACCTTTGCTTGAGGCAGAATGGTATTTCCTTCTAGAATGCAAGCAGGGAGGTCATATAGGTGGCCAATATGCAGCGTCAAAGAATAGAGTTCTTCAACAATCAAGGAAGGGAGTTGTGCTTCTTGTTTCTCATATGGATGGAACAACTCATCTTCTGTATCATGTGGCTCCAAATACCTGGAGAAATTCATGGAGACATAAATACCATACAACATAAAATATGCAGAATCGATGAAACAGCACTTATGCTTGACATCTTACCTGAAGATGAAAACTTTAACATATTGCAGGAACTCAACACATTTTTGTCTCGTATTATTCGCTTCTAAGTGACGGTTTGCAGCTTGACCTGAAATTAGAAATTAAGGATGGGCTCTTAAGGAGTTCGTGCACTACACAATTTTACTTGATGTTCACATTAAGGGTAAAAAATAATACATATTATCATTGCAATAGTGGCGAACATCTGTAACTTGTGTGTAGCAGGAGGTTGAAGATTTGTTCTCCGAGCTTGTGGTTTGGTTTCCAAATGTTTTATTATACCAGGCTACGTAACATCTTCAGTGGAGTTTAGGGGATGTCAGTGTTCTTCTGTTTATAAGGGCTTCAGATGTGGATGGGGGTGTCAATCACAAGACCCTCACTTAACACACCACACCTGAAGCCCTTAAACAGAAGAACACTGACATCCCCTAAACTCCACTGATGGTACCTAGTCTGGTAACAGAATGTTCAGAAACCACCCCACAAGCTTGAAGAACAAACCTTTATCCTCACATATTATCATAATTGTATATTAAGGGTACCCCAAAATTCACCCTTTGAGTTGAATCATCTACACCAGTTTAACAAGAATAAGCCAATTCATGAACTAGGGGTTTTAACTGTGAATTGAGACCTCTTAGGATGCTGTGAACAAATTTGCATATTTTGAAGGGCTCATGTGCCAAAGCTAGAAACCCATCCTGAACTTCTTCCCATTCTGGCTAGACTGAGGTTTTCCCAATGGAAACAAAATCTGGACTATTGTCCACCACAGTCTAGGTTCGTGATGGCGAACCATAGGTGACACGCAGAGCCATATTTGCCAGCACTCCAGCCTTCAGCTCCAGTGCACATGCGCGCGCCAGCCAGTTCATTTTTGGCCTTCCGGAGGGATGCTGTTTTTCACCCTCCCCAGGCTTAGGAAAGCCTCCGGAGCCTGGGAGGGCAAAAACTCCCCCCCCCCCACGGCTGTGCACATGCACGGGGGTTCATGCACATGCGCATGGGTGGGGTGCATTCCATTGTGAGCCTGGGCATGCACGCACGACAGCACACGCACACACAATTTTGGCACGGCTTTACAAAAAGGTTAGCCATCACTGGTCTAGGTTTTCCTAACAAGAGTAAAAATGATAAAGGAAAAAAAAGAGTATCTCTCTTCTCTTAAGTGCTGAGGAAGCCTTCTGGAATAAAGCACAATGGGTGAACCACTTTGGCAGGTAAAGGGAAAATGGAAAACAAAGGGAGAAGGAAAAAATTGGGGATTTGGAGGGAAGGGGAAGATGTCAGTCAAGCAATCATCCTTAACAACGGCTCATGCCACTAGCAATTTTCACGGATCAGCCCTGGACTCCCTTTACAATTTGTGCAAAGAGTTCAAGTTTGGTCTCCCGTGTTCTTGCTGCTTTTCCTTTCCCCAATACTCCTTACTTGGCAAGGCAGGGAGCCTGAACCCAAGCAGCCCCCTTTTCGCAAGGCAAGATGGTTAAAACCCACCTTATCCATTATGCAACTCCTGGAAAAGCTTTATAAGCCAGAAGTGAAAAAGACAAGAGGCAGAGGGGGAAATGGCTTCTTTGCACATTTTCATATACTGTACATACAAGTGGATCAACTCCGGGAGAAGAAGACACTGGGGCTAAGCCATTCCTTCCAAGTTTTGGGAACCAATAAAGAACTGCCTTTTCAACTGCCATTCACGGTCCTGGGACTGATCGGAACCCTAGTGCTATTCGATGGTTCGGAAACACGAAAGGACTGCTTCCTGAACAACCTGGAACCTCTATGCTCCGCCTTCTTGGTTACAGAAGGCATGACCTTCTTTTTATTTTTATTTGTAATGAGAGTCCAAGGCCTCCCCAAAAAGTTTCGCTTTAGACTGAAGGCACAGTCTAAAATGGCCACCACGTTAAATGCTATGCAAAAACGGCCACCACGCTGAAAAGCATAGGAGAATTGCAGTTTAAAATGGTCGCCACAATCTTCCAGCTCCTGCAGTGAGAATTCAAGGCGAAGTTTGGTGCTAAAGGCTAGGAACAAGACAATGATGCGAACTGCTGGGTCCTTACACCACTGGCTGCCGCACAAACTGAACGAGGGAATAGCGCTAGCAGCTGGGTCCCCGCACTGCTGACAGCTGTGCTAGAAGCTGGCTCGATCGCGAAGGCGCTGGCACCACAAGCTGATCGCATCACCTTGCTGCCCAGATGACCGCGCATGCCTGAGCAGAATCTGGGACACGTCAGCAAATCTACTGATGATAAGGAAGGCAAAGAAAGCTCATCAGAACTGCTCTCTGTAAAGGAACAATAAGGAAAAAGACCAAAACTGGTAAGTTGAAGAGTCCAAATATGGATTAATAGAAGGAACCACTTGAAACACGTCCACTGGGCTAGACTGAATTGAAAAAATCTGAGGTGTCAGCAGCGGAGGCGTGGCTAAAGATCTTTCAATTCAGTCCAGGGCAGTTAGACAGAATTAACTCATGCTTGGACTCTCCAAGCAGCGCACAGGAGAAGTTTGAATGCATGAGAGTATTACTATCCAACCAGGTGGCACAGAAGGAGGGAAAAGATGATTTATCTATCCATCATCTACCTATTCTGCCTTTATTACTTTTTAAGTAGGGTGGTGAGCATACATAATACTCTTTCCTCCTCCTATTTTCCCCACAATAATAACTCTGTGAGGTAAATTGGGCTTAAAGAGAGTTACTGGTTCAAAGTCACCCAGCCAGTTTTTCATCCCCAAGCAGAACTAGAACTCACAATCTCCTGGTTTCTAAACCAGCTCCTTAAACACTATATATAACCTACACATACAAATGAATTTTTCTCTGATGGCTGTGATGAAGCTGTTTAAATACAGTTTTGTGTCAGGATTGGGGAGCCCATTGCCCACAGTTTTCTTTATCTTTCACTATTAGCCATATTGGTGGAAGCCTAATGGGAATTTTAATTCAGCAACATCTGGAGGATCACAACTTCTTAATCTATTCATTTCAGGGCCTATCAATGTAGTATGTATCTTTAAAGGCATCTATGGAGCTTCTGCTTTATGTCTGCCCACTCAAAATATGCTATGTATTTTAAGGAACTGGCAACCTCTTTATCTATCAAGCAAAAAGTATAATTGTATTTAAATGACTAACATTTTGCTCACATTGCCGCATATTGAAAACATGAAGTATCAAATCAGCTGTCAAATTTTCTATTAGATTATTTGGATAACGGCATTGCTTTTAAGATTTTCGTTTTTAAAAAAAAATAGGGATGTGAAATTGGTTATATATACCACAGCATCAAGATGATAATATTTCTTTTGCTTTCCTTCCTCTCTTTCTGTCCCAGAAGAAACATTAAGGCATTATAACTCACACAGAGAGCAAATAATAAGCTAAAAACAGTATAACTAAAAATATATCCAGAAAAATAATTTCTTAAAAACAACTCAAAATTCCTGGATCAAAATGTGTCTCCCACATTTGGGGGATATAAATATTTTGCTGGATTGCCAGAATCTGTATAGGATGGAATTTGCCAGCTTTTTTATCATAAGTCTAAGAATTATTACAAGAACAATGACTTTGCAAGTGGTCCCCAACCTTTCTGGCTCCAAGGACTGGCGGTGGTGTATGATTTTGCGTGTGTAACCTAGATGCCGTGCATGCGCAAATGAAGCTTCGTGTGCTCACCTGCTGCTTGCATGGCCCAGTTCCCAACAGACCACGTCCCAGTTCTGGTCTGTGGACCAGGGGTTGGGGACCCCTGCCTTACCATATTAAATGTATATCCATATATACCTGTACATGTATGGCTGTCTTTGATAGGCTCCAAGTATTTATCTTTGTGTACATACACAAACACACAATTTTATTGTACAAATTGTTGTAAGGCACATATAAATTAAAAATATTTTAAAATTTACCAAAGTCAGATGAACTTGATTGAGCAAGGTTTTCTAATTTGTATATAAATTGTCTGTTAGAATTAAAAGAAAAAGATGTTATTGTAAACAAAAGTATATACCTAAATACTGCATTCAAACAATACATGTATCTCTACATAGACATATGTTATGATCATAATATCTTATGATTCATGATGAGTGTATTTATGATGACTATGACCATGGTTTATCACTTATATCATTTATGTACACTGAGCTCTTATGCACCGAAGACAAATTCCCTGTGTATCCAATCATACTTGGCCAATAAATAATTCTAATATCTATATATGAATGCAGCACATGTATACAGGCATACATTATATTTGTTAGACTTCCTTTTTTTAAAAAAAACATTTATCTCTGCAAATCATCCATGCCAACAAGCTTGCCAGCCTGGGTAAAGCATCTTTTCATAGGTGGATGGGTTCTTCAATCTTTATTAGGGGTTTCTTTTATAAAGAGCTTTAACTTCCATTATAGTTCAGTACAATGCACTTTAATAATATAGCTAGTGAAAGTCCTCAGAACAAATATTTGGAACAGAATATTGTAGGTTTTAAGAAATATGAAGCAATATAATAACCAATGATATATTCCAGGAATAACAACAACAACGTAATTATTTAATAATAATTAAATAACTACATGATTAGGGATGAAACATGTAACAATGATACCCATTGTCATCAGGGCACTTGGTACCATGTTCAAGAATTTTACAAAATACATCAAGAAATTGCAGCTTCCTGCAATAACACCAGCGGAACTGCAAAAAACTGCACTACTTGGAACATTGTACATTTTAAGAAGATATTTGGTTGAAACCTAGGATGCTGGCAGCAACCCGGATCAACCATTAGCACCAGTCAATGGTATTTGTGACACATCTTTAAATGTTCAGTTGACTGAGTTTCATTTTTAATGAATAAAGTTAATAAAGTTAATAAAGTTATCATACCTCAATAATCCAAAGAGAAATGTACAAGATTCAACTAAAGCAATTTCAGTAACCCATTGAAAATCAAATAATTCCACAATGTCCTTTTCATAGTCAATTGGAAAGGGATCCAGCCCCAGTAAATTCCTAAGAAACAAAGTTCATATTGTTTATAGTTCCTTAAGCAACAT